ATGACGCCTACGCAGAGCAGCGTGCAAGTGCTGCTTGACATGAGGGCCGGGGCGCACCTGGAGACCACTCGCGTGCAGTTCTCGCGTGCACGCCCCGCGGCCCGCAGCGCACTCTGTGCGCGCCGGTCGACTGCTGTTTGGTTCGCGGAGGGCCGCAGATCGGGGGAGCGTAAGACCCGGGCTTGCCAGGACTCGGGTTCGCCATCGTTTTTTGACGACCGCGCCTCGGATTTTGACGAGGAGGAGTTTCGTGGGATGTCTGCAGCGGGAGGCCTCGTCAAAATGCAGGCTCGGCCTCGTCATTTTTTTGACGACCTCGTTGGGGATTTCCGAGTCCCTTGTACCCAGGTCTTACGCCCCCCTGAGCAGAGACCGCGCCAGGCCTGGGTGCAGAGCCACCGGCAGAGCGTGGTGCACGACCGGCCACGCTGCCCGGTGCCGCCCGCCACCCGGAGAGAGGAGCCAACGCAGGGGCAGCGAGTAGCAACACCGCGTGCAGGGGGGGGAGGGGGAGCGGTGAAGGCTGGGGAGGCTTCGGGGGCGACGATAGGGGGGGATGGGCATGCAGAAGGGGGGGATGATTTTGACCACCCGTCGCCAACTGAGCGCCCAACCAGCCCAGGAAGGTGCGGTTTGGCTACCCGGGGGCGTCGCGCGATCTATCGACGACGTTCCGCCGCTTCCAAGTCGATGCATCACCCCCTGTGCCAGTCACCCCTCCTATTGTTGCCCCTCACGGCTGAGGGGAGTGAAGGCCGCATGCTGGGGACCGCTTGCTTGATTGACGAGGCACTTCAGACGGGCGGTGGTCTGCCGTGTGATGTGCGAGTCTGGAGCTGCGTTTTGCGATGTCTTGCAGGCGTGTTTTGGTTTTATGTGCGATCTGCCCATTGGGCGGACGCCGCGCGTCCCCGCGGCTTGCGCCGTCCTGCAACGATGCCCTCAGTGATGCGGTTGTGTGCGAGTAGGCTCAAATCGCTGACTTCCCAGAGAGTCGCCGAGGCCGGAAAGGAGGAGAGAGCAGGATGTGCACGAACAGGAGGACGAGGAGGAGGAGGAGGAGGAGGACGACGACAACGAGAAGGAAAGAAGAAGGAGAAGGAGAAGGAGAAGGAGGAGGAGGCCTAACAGGACTATGACGTTAGCAGGTGGGAAGGGGAGGGAGGATGGAGGAGGGAGAAGGAAAGACAGACGGGAGGGAGGAGGAGGAGGAACATGGGGAGGAGGAAGACGGGAGGAGGCGGGAGACGGAAGGTGGAAGGAGGATTGAGGGATGATGGGAGAAGGAGAAGGAAGGAGAAGGATGATGATGATGGTGATCAGGAGGAGGAGGAGGAGGAGGGTGAGGAGGAATGTGTCGTGATGGGAGAAGGGAGGACGTATGAACAACAAGATAAATGATGGCCAGGAGGAGGAAGAGGAGAAGGAGGAGGACGGTAAGCATGAGGATATTGTTGGAAAGTTGGAAATGTAGGGCGCAGCGTGGAGCGAGGAAATCGGAGGGAGGAGAAATGAGGAGAAGGAGGAGGATGAGGATATTGCGGGGAAGCGAGCAGTGAGGCGGAGAGATAAGTAAGTATTTGAGGCAGGAGGGAGGGAGGCAGAGAAGAAGAGGCGGAGGAGGATGAGGAGAAGGAGGAGGAGGGTCTACATTTGAACTCAGTAGCTGGTTGCGCGGCCGAGCCAAGGGCCGAATCTTAGTACTGGCGACCGCCCTATGATTGTGCGGGCAGTGGTCCAGACCACTGTGCCGAGGCCACGCGAGACTCCCCCATGTCCTCCGAGGTCCACCAGGGGTCATTTGCTCGCGATGCCCCTCGAGAGGCCCGACACTGCAGAGGAGGAGGAGATGAGGTGGGGGAGGAGGAGGAGGAGGAGGAGGAGGAGGAGGAGGAGGAGGAGGACAAGGACGAGGAGGAGGAGGACGAGGACGAGGACGAGGAGGAGGAGGTCGAGGAGGAGGAGGAGGGGGAAGAGAACAATGGAAGGAAGAATACGGAGGATGACGATTAGTACGTGAAGGGGAAGTTGAGGAGCACGAGGAGAGCTTCGACGAGGAGGAAGAGGAGGTGGTGGAGGAGGACGAGAGGAGGAGGAGGTGGTAACGGATGGGGAGGAGTACGTAACCAGGAGCAGCAGCAGCAGGAGGACGTCCGAGGTGGTGGCGGGCGTGGACGAGGATGAGCCCCGCTCTCTGAGGCACTTGCCGGCTATCGCGAAACCCTCCCGGGCGGTGAGCCGCGTCCAGGTGCCGGCCAGAGTTCGGCAGAGGGGCAGGGCGTGGACGATGCCTTGCCGAGCGGGCCCAGGGCCGGGACACGCCGCTCCAGAGCGAGCTGGAGCGTTGCCAGCGAGCCGGAGCGCGCTCTGGAACGGCCGCGGCGCCCGACACATCCTCCAGAACCGCCCGACCTCCAGCTATGTTGTTTCTGCGACACCCTCTCCGCCCCAGTCAGATCCCACCGCCCGGGGCCACGTCTGGTAGACAGAGGCCGCTCCCGAGGGCCCGCGACCAGGACCCTCGCCCACCCTTGGGGCTTCCGTCGAAGGGGGCAAGGACGAGGACACTCCTCCTCCTCCTCCTCCTCCTCCTCCTCGACGTGGGCGAGGACGCTCTGTGACCCGTCCCAGAGCGTTCCGGAACGCTTCCAGAGCGTTCCGGAATGCTCCAGGAAGGCCGCGGCGCCAGAGACATCCTCCAGAGCCGCCGGTCCTCAGACCTTCGATTTATCCTCACCCGATGCTATCTTCCTTCTTTTCGATGCGTGTAATGTTTTTTTGGGGGGCGGACGCCAGATCTCGGAGATCCCCGAGCTGCTCCTGCAATTCGCAGGCCCTGCTCGTGACCCCGCCGCACGCGCGCAGCCCAGCGCGCACGGCAGGCACCCCCAGGCGTGTTTTCGAGGTCTCTGCTGGCAGGGGTTATGGGAAGCCCTTCTCTCGGCCAGGACCATCGAGGAGCATTTGAGGTCATCTTGCAACAAAAACACACGCTCGAAACCGAAGCGTGTACGGGGAAAGGACGTCCGAGCGATGGCGAGAAGTGCCCCCCTCGCTCCCCTCGAAAAGCCAGTCGAGCAGAGAGGAGCGGAAACTCGGGGCTACCCCGAGCAGAAGAGAACGGAACGGGCACCTCTATCGAGGATGGGTTCCCCCCCATTTTCGTTTTTCTCCGAGTTGGGGCCCGATATTTTTGTCCAGTCGAGGACCCTACAAATTCGGGGATAGGGTCGCCACACCCCCGATTATCTACGGATGGCGGGTCGTGTCGGACCTCATTTAACTTCTCGAGCGACTTCTCTCAAGTCTGCGTGAACCACTGCACCGTGTGGCAGTGTGGTCGGATCTGACGCAGGCCCTTGTGATTGTGCCAGTCTTCTATTTGGCATCCTCTTGGTTATGCTCTCTGCTGGTGGTTCCCGCATGCTGTCCCCTCCCGCTCCCCCATCGCTATCGTGCTCCTCGGTCCCGCAATCCCGCTCGCCAAGAGAGGTGTGTCGTGCACCGTACGGCGGCAGTGACAGGCGCGGGGGAGGATGGGGAGGAGAGGATACTGAGGAGGAGGGGGCAATTGAAACGAGAGGAGCAGGACGATGAGGGGGAGCTGCGAGCAAGAGGGGGATAAGGATGAGGAGGTGGAGGAGGAGGAGGGAAGGGAAGCAGGAAGGGGAAGGGCAGCAAGAGGAGGAGAAGGATGAGGAACATGTTGGTGATGATGATGATTATGATGATGATTATGCTGGTGATGATGATGATGATTCTGAGTCATTATGATGCTGATGCTAGTGGTGATGGTGGTGTGATGGTACTGCTGATGGTGATGGTGATAGTGATGGTGATGGTGATGATGGTTCTTATGTTGATACTGATGATGATACCGATGATGGTGATACTGGTGAATGGTGATGATAACGAGTATGAGGAACATGTTGCTGATGACGATTGTGGTGGTGATGATCATGGTGATGCTCTGGATGGTGATAATGATGATGGTGTGGATGCTCATGATGGTGAGGATGATGATAGAAATGAAGATGGTGGCGATGCTGATGCTGATGTTGATCATGCTGATGATGATGATTATGATGCTGATGCTGATGCTGATGCTGATGCTGATGCTGATGCTGATGCTGATGCTGCTGATGATGAGGATGGGGATGAGGGTGATGATAAGAGGAGTAAGAGAAGGAGGAGGAGGAAGAGGAGGCGAGGGAGGAGGAGGATAAGAACGAGCAGAGGAGGAGGAGGAGGAGGAGGAGGAGGAGGAGGAGGATCGAGAGGGATAAGAGCAGGAGGAGGAGGACGCGGTGACACACTCTTCCTCGTCGTGCCGGGGGTCAGCCTGCATTTTGTCGGTCCAGTTGTCGTGAGATGCTTACAGTTGGAGATCGCGCCAATTTTCAGACTAGGTCCTGTCATTAGTTTGACGGTCCCGTCAGGCATATTCGAGCCTCCTCAATTCGAATCGTACGTCTCCCCGAGGCCCTACGGAGTGATTGCAGTTTCCTCCGTTGTAGTTCCCAGACCTCGGCGAGTCGAACAAGTAGTGCAACGTGTTTTCAGCAATGTTCGTCCTCATGCTGGTTGTCATTGAGTCTCAAGGGCATCAGACAACTCTTCAGGATTGAAGTTCAATCCCAGGGAAGGGGGTATGGAGATCTGGGGGCTACGACTCGATCACATCGAGTACGCGGTGGTCTGTGATCAAAGCGATTCTGTCTCGCCTATGCTTTCTGCGTTCACACTCCTCGCTTCTCTTACACGGGAGGCGGCGATTTTATGAAGTCGTCCTTCAGCTCATTCGGTGGATTAGAAGATCATTGTCGGGTTGAGTTGGCAATAGGTCGCGAGCACAGAACCTGGTGTGTGTATATGTGTATGTTTGTTGTTTAACAATTGCCGTCTGGAATCGATCACTCCTCAAGGCTTCCACGCAAGATTACTAGTCCTTGATCGATCTTGAGCCCGCAGAACATGTGCAGTCAACAATGCGAAACGCACGAGATGAAACGCGTCAGACCGCAGCCATGCCTCCGCAGAGAGTGGGTGTCCGAGCGTGCACTTGCCAACCAGAATCGCACGCGGTCCCGAGCGACGGCACCGCGCCGAGGGGATGGGGCTGTGTGGGGAGGGGGGGGGGGCAGCGCAACCGGCGGTTGCAGAAGCGACGCCGAGCGAGCTGACAACACCGGGCGGCTCGAACGGGCAGCATGCAACACAGGCGGTGCCCAGGTCACCCCGCGGCGGGCGCGAGCATTGTCCTCGCCCCTCGCGCTCCCGGTGGCCTGGGCGCCCTCGCTGGCCGCCCCCTGCGCGGAAGAGGAGCGCGCGGAGAGGCTCGCGCCCCGCGCGGCGCGACGCGCGAAGCTGGGTGAACTCTGGGCTCGCGACCGCACGGGCCCAGCGCCTCGCACTGCCCCGACCATGCAGTGAGCAGCAGGTCGGCGTGGCCGGCCCGAGGCAGTCGCTGACGCAGGGGATCGTTGTTTTATTCGTTGTTTTGCCGATCGGCGCGGGCCCCCTCGCACCCCCCCTTCCCCCCCCCCCATGGAGCAGATCTTGGCTGCTTTTGTCGTCTGCTCCGAGCGGGTGGAGTGCCCCCCAGACAGGCACTCTTGCAAGCGGTCGCGGCAAGCAAAGAGGCGCCGAGCAATAGGAACGCTCACCTGGGCGGCGGCGGACCCAGGGGCGGGCTCGCTCAGGGACCGCGGGGCGAGGACGAGGGCGCTCGGAGAGGCAGCTGCTGTGCTGCGAGCCTCCTCCGCGTCGTCGTCCTTCTCCTGGGTCCTCCCTCGCTCCTCCTCCTCCCTCCTCGGTTGTCTCCGCCTCCCCCTCCTGCCTCCTCCCCTCACCCCCCTGTCCAGCCCCTCCTCCTATTCTCTGTTCTCGTCCTCCTCCCCCCCTTGCCGCCCTCCCCTCCCTCTTCAACACCATGCCATGCCCTGTAATGTTATGCCCTGCTGCGACATCCGACTGCGCGAATAGAGAGAAGAGCTACGCCATGGTAAGTGGTGGTGGTGCAACGGTGGCATGGCAGACAATGCATGGTAAGGGGAGGGAGGGGTAGGACATCAGATATGGCGCGAACGCACCTGGCTTGCCTCCCCCCCTCTGCGTCTCCCTCCCGCCTCCCTGTTCTGACTTGTCGCGTGCAGTATTGGCTGTATTTTCCGCACCTCTGGCATTCTGGGCTATTTTTCCCTTGGTGCCGATGCTGATCATCTACTCGTTGCATGCCTGCGCGCAGTTGTAGCCAGCGGGCGCCGCCACCATCTGACAGCCGAGACGGCTAATCGGGAACGCAATCCACAAAATCCCCACGGCCCCAACCGCCTCCCCATTCCTCTTATGACCCCCTGTTCTCCCTCGCCCGCCTTCTCCGCCGCCATCCTGTTCTCGGACGGTGACGTCAGCGATGATGACCACGGCGTCGGCGGCGGCGGCGGCGGCCGTGTCGCCTGCCGCGCTGACACGGAGGCAGCGTCGACGGCGGCGGCGGCCGCGGCGACGGCGGCGCTGGCGGCCTCGGCGGCGGCGGCGTCGGCGGCGGCGGCGAGGGTGGAGCTCGCCTCCACTCCGCCGCTCCGACCTCGCCCCGCTCCCCCTGCGCGGTGGCAGGCGGCCGGGGCCGAGGGCGCTGGCGCGCGAGCTGGCCGGCGGCTTGGCCCGCCAGCTGGGCTACAGCACCTGCGAGGCCGCGCCCTCCTCCTCGTGCGTGCTCCTGCAGCGCCTCCTCCTGCTCCTGCTCCTCCTCCTCCTCCTGCTTCTGCTCCTCCTCCTCCTCCTCCTCCTCCTCCTCCTCCTCCTCCTCCTCCCCCTCCTCCTCCTCTTCCTCCTCCTCCTCCTCCCTCCTCCTCCTCCTCCTCCTCCTCCTCCCCTTCTCCTCCTCCTCCTCATCATCATCCTCCTCCTCCTCCGCGTCTTCCTCGTCTCATCTGCTCCTCCTCCTCCTCCTCCTCCTTCTCCTCCTCCTCCCCCTCCTCTTCCTCCTCCTCCTCCTCCTCCTCCTCCTTGTCAAATCACCGTCCCGTCCTCTGGCTCATCCTTCTCCTCCTCTCACCTCCTCCCTCTCCTCCAACCACCTCCCCTCCTGCATCCGTGTTGGCTCAAGCCATCTTGGCTCACGCGCGCGGCGGGGGCCTCTACATGGGCGGCCGCAGTTGCCGCCCTGGCGGGCCACGTAGGGGCCAGGCAGCAAGATCTAGGGAGGAACAACCACCCAGACCGGACAATTGGCGTTCACTGAACGTCCCTGGGCGTTTACTAAACAGCCCTGCCCTGTTAGATTCCTTTGGGTGCGTTTTCTAAACGGCTTCGCGTGTCGGGGTGGTTATAATCGTGGTGGATGTTCTGCCCTCTACACGAGGCGGTGTTCCAAGCGTCGACGCGAGGCTTTGGACTCACCTCTCCATTTTCCTGATGATTCGTTTGCTGGTGCCACAGCGGCGACCCAGATCGGGTGGTCGCCCGCGACAGCCTCAGCAATGCGAGCCCCAAGGTCAACGATCTGGATGAACTCCCCGTCTGGGCGATGTCCGAGGCCAGCGTGGCTGGAAAGGCCAAGCACGTCGAGGAATCTGCCGCTGCACCTCTTGGCGAGACGGCTCTATTCCGGGACAAGAGCAGCTATCTGAAACCTAGCTGCTCTGATACGCACGGTTTGAAGCGTAACACGTGCCGTGTTCAAAACGTCCGTGTTCACAACGTACGTGTTCAATCTACGTGTTGAGCCCCGTATCAATACGCTACGTGTTGCGTGTTGCGTATCGGGGCAGCTACGGTCTGGAAACAAGCGAGTCCAGGGAGAAGTTGAACGAGCTGAGCTCGGCCGAATCCATTCTAACCTCCGGCCCTGACAGAACGACCGAGCCCCAGATCACCAAGCGGGCAGATATCGAGGTTTCTTTCCACACGGTCAAGGCGAACATTAAATCGGGCTTGTCCCTCTACAGGGGGGAGATTCATAAATAGTCGAAAAATAGTCTGGGGACGATTATTTGATTACTTTGGAGTATATTTGGAGTACTGTTCAAGAATGCTTCATGTTTCATCCAAAATCCGCCTGTAGGGGGCCATGCCCGACCTAAGTCTAACACCCTCGACCAGGTTACGGTCCAGGACCTGATCAACGCAAAGCGCAAGAGAACGTCTTTCAACGCTACGGGCTTCTCCAACGACCATAATTGCAAGATCAAGCCCCAGACTGTGGCGAAGTCTCCTGCTGATGGTCTCCACGCAAGATACTTCGGTTCTGTTTTAAGACATCCAGGAATGGCTACGAGAAGAGCTTGGCTGGTCTGTTTCGGGGCGTCTCTGCTGGCGGATGGGCCAAAATCGAGGACCAATGGCAGGTCGAGGTTGAGATCTCTGCCCATGGCGTGAAGGCTAACTAACAACCCGCCCCGCTTGGCCACACACACACGCACACACCTGACCACACCCAACGACCAGCTGCAGAATGATATCCAGAACGCTCCTAAGCTGCCCGTCGAAGAGTTTGTTGTTCGATGTCATCGCGTTGCGGTTCAGCGAGGTGATCGGCGAGAACGGTTTGGAGTGCATGCTGTAATTCGTCGTTGCCAACCCCGAGATGAGTCCGTTCTTCTTTCAGATCCCTGGCATGCCAGTCCTCTTGGACGGAGGCCGGCTTCAAACGCAGCGAAACCAGAAGTAGCCAGACCTCGTTCCTCCAGCACCATGTGGAGCTCCATATTGCTCACCAGGGTGGTATCATCAGGTTCGGGATTTCCGGCAACTTTCAGGAGCACCTTGGTTTGAGGCTAGGATTGTGGCGGCCCGCCTAGTATACAGATCACCGCCGTCACCAGGACCAAAACAATATCTCATGTATTCCTCCTTCTCGTCCTCCTCTTCCTACTCCTCCTTCTCCTCCTCCTCCTCCCCCTCCTCCTCGTCCTCCTCCTCCTCCTCTTCCTTCTCCTCCTCATCCTCCCCCGCCTCCTCCTCCCCCCCTGGCGCCGAGACCATTGTCGTCAATGTAGCGCCCTGCGAGCCACGGCCGCAGCTGCGCCCGCACGCCAGGTGATCCCGTGGATTCCCCCCTGGTCTCGTCGATCCTCCTCCTCCCCCTCCTCTCCCTCTCATTTCCTCCTCTTCCTCCCCCTCCTCCTCCTCTTCCTCCTCCTCCTCTCACGTCCTTGTCTTCTCCTCCTCCTCCTTCTCCACCCCTTCCTCCTCCTCCTTCTCCTCAGCCCTCGCGGCACAAACCTTTTTTTTGCAGCGGGGTGATCAGGGCCCACAGGCATGTCCCTGACTTGCCACGACAACCTCCAAATGTGTTAGCCTCGGGCGGCCATGCACATACGCTGCTGCGCATGGAATCCACTCTCTATGCGACGAGCAGGGCGATAGACGGATGTGGCGCGCCAGTTCAAAAGTTGCGGGATAGTGGGCGTCGCAGGCGCTCAAGTTGCTTCTGATACTCCTTGTGCTCAGGACCGCCTTGGACGATATCTTCGTTTCAATGGGGTCGAAGCGGCGGGAGCTCGGGAAGACCTACGGGTTTGGCGTTGCTTGTTCTTGTTTTTGCCTCGGCATGTCAGACGAGTATGGACGTATCCAGGAGAGCTGGCATGTCGCATCGGCGCAGTTCGCTTCAAGTCTGAGAGCTCGGACGTGACCATCATAGTGGCGCACGCTCCGGTGGAGCCGCCTGGAGGTCGAGGACGTGCCGTTGCGGTAAGGTTCTGCAAGATGTTATGGGGCTCTCTGAGGGGTCTTCTGAACGAGCTGCCCGCGCGTACGGTGCCCGTCGTTTTGTTGGACGCCAGCGCTAGGGTAGGCAGCGAGATCGACGCGCTGGGGACACAGCGCGGACCAGGAGAACACCGACGGCAGCTTCTTCAGAGAGACGCTGGAGGAGCATCATTTGTGCGCAGTGAACACTTTGTCCGAATGCAGTGTTGCGCATTATCATGGCGACTGAGTTTCCACGGCAAGAGTTGACTACATTTGCAGTACGAGAGATGTTGGCGGGTTTGCTTCATCATGCAGTGTATAGGAAAGGGCGGGGGAAGCACTACAGCACATCAACACTAGGACTCGACGAGACCACTTCCCCGTCGTGGCTGTTCTGAAGATTGGACCTTTTCTCCCAGCGAATGAGAAGCAGAGGATTCGGTGGGATCACACGAAGCTGAGTCGTGCAGTTCTGTTTGGAGAAAAGACACGCCTTCTTGACGGAGGTGAACCGCGCTGTCGGCCAGGTAGCATTCAACGCGGACATGCTGACGAGACAGAGCGCCGACTCGTTGTATTTGGAGTTCCACAGCGCAGTGATGCCTGTAGCACAGTTTTTCCTTGCGAAGCCCAATACAGTAGAAAAGGCCGCAAGACACGCCTGATGCGCTAGCTGTGCGCATCGAGAGGAGGCTCCGCTTGCGGCCCTGCCATCGCACCCTGTTCCTGTTCTTCCCCTCCCTTTCCTCTTGTTTTGTCCTCTGACTTGCTTGTCTTTCTCCCTCTTACCTTCTGTGGCTTGCTCGTCTGTGTTTGCAAGCAGTATCGTGAGTTGTTTGCGAGTATGTGTAAGCATACCAAGCATAGTTTTGGTGTCGGCAAGCGGGCCACTCAGTCAGGCATTTCACGCGGCGTGACAGAAACCGGTACCTTGGGCTGCGGGTGTCCGAGCTTGAAGGCTTTTGGGTCCAGCGAAGTTATGCGGTCTCTTGGGAATCAACTAGGAAGCTTAGCGGCAAGGCACTGGGCCCGAAGTTGCGATTGTATTATACTCCCAGTGTGTAGTTAGATCGTGATACCTGGCCGGCGTATTTGTCGAACCCTGGAGAGAAGGGAGGCTTTTCTGCTAGCGCTCCCAGGTATGATGGAGAGTTAGATGCACGTCGCACTCGCGAGCCGCGCGAGGATGAATTGCAAGAAGCTGCGAATGCAACGAAGGAGGCGTACGGACAAAAATTCGGGGTTCTTTAGGCGTGCCAGGCTTCGCCGTGCACTTCCGTCGTGGTCCACGCCTGCAGGAGTGTGGAGGGAGTTTAAGCCGCACTCGCGTGCTGTTCTGGCCTAGGGAGTTTAAGCCGCACTTGCGTGCTGGCTTAGGTGTTTTGGCTGGGAGCTGGGACTTGTTAGCTATTCGGCATTGTTCGTTCGCTATCTTAGTCGCCGTGCGTTGTCGTGAAGAAGCACCGTTGATCTGGCACTGTAGTCCGGCGTTTGCACCCAGTAAGGCGAATGGGAAGGCAGATGGTATTGGGTTTCGACTGGTACATAGCTAAGACCCTTCTCGGAACGGTTGTAAAACATGTTTGGCGTGCTAATCTGTTGCCGCTGCGTGAGGCCACCAGACATTATGCGTACGGTTACCTGAATAATAGGAGGATGGAGGGAGCTGTTCTAGTTCAGAGTCTAGTACAATAAAGGCTACGAGAAACCGGACAAAGTTCCAACGCCGATTTTTACGACGCGACGAATGCGTTCCACAGTGTATGTCATGAAATGTTGATGATGTCCATTCGCCTGCACGCGGACGAGTTCGCGACGGCATTTCTTGCGCCGCGCCTGAGGCACGGACATGCCAGTTTAGAGTGTGTCGATGGGATATTAGAAATGGGGATGCTCTACCTGGGGATTCTTTTGCGTGCTTATGGTGTTGGGGTCCTTATCATTTGGCCGTCGACGGAGATGCGTGTGCCGAGCGTCCTGGGCTTAGCGTGTCGG